TTGGGTCTCAGAATAATCAGCCACAGGGTTCTACGATGTTTGGATCGTCGATGACGCAACAGCAGCCGCAGAGCAATATGATGGGAGGTTCTCTGTTTGGAAGCTCACAAGCCACCCAGGCCGCTCCATCACTGACTGCGAGCATCAACGATCCATCAGCATATGGATCCTTGTTCGCTAACCTGGGCAACAACGAGGTTGCCGACCCGGGCCCCCTTGCGACGCCAACAAACAAGAGACAATCTAAACGATCCTCTATCCTACCCTACTACAAGCTGAATGCGTCGTCTGCTTCTCGGTTTGCAACACCGCAAAAGCGTGGATATGGCTTTTCGTACAGCACCTACGGCACTCCGAACAGCCCTTCAAGTGTAGCTAGCACACCTGGTTCAATGTCTCAGAGTTTGATGGGAGGCGGTAGTCTGTCTCGCAGCCTTGGCAACTCTCTTGCCAAGAGTGTTTCGACGAGCAACCTCCGCCGAAGCTTCAATGTTGAAGACAGCCTATTAGCCCCTGGCGCTTTCTCTGCTAGTTCTGGATCGAGACTCTATGGAAACGGTGGCAGTGTCAAGAAACTTGTTATTAACAGGGACTTGCGCAGTGACTTGTTCTCGACACCTACGAAGGACAAGCCATCGCCCGAGACCCCGAACAGCTCTCGCAAGCTAACTAAGAGAGTCAGTTTCGATACCAGTAACGTAGAGGCAATTGAAGATGGGGAGCCTGTGAATGGCTCGACCAGCTCTACCCCAAGTGCAGAGCAGTTGGGTTACGTTCGACCAAAAAGCACTAACGGCGTCAACGGTTCCAAGCCAAACTCTTCGTCTATTCCTGAGATGGAGCAGGTCAAAGGTAACGAGCTAGCGGTCGTGCATGAAGAGGAAGCAGTTTCGCCTCAAGTCCAAAGCTCGGCCACTACTGCCGCTGACGGAGAGGCCGGTGAGTATTTCATGTCTCCCTCCAAGGAAGAAATCCAGGATATGAACCGTGTCCAACGTCAGAAGGTATCTGGCTTTACCGTCGGTCGCCAAAACGTCGGCTACGTCAAATTTAAGGTGCCTGTTGACTTGACTTCTGTTGACATTGATAACATCTTTGATAACATCGTTATCCTCGAACCCCGTAGCGCAACTGTCTACCCCAATGCTGCCAAGAAGCCTCCCGTCGGCAAAGGACTGAACGTTCCAGCCATCATCAACCTCGAGAACTCGTGGCCTCGTGCTTCTAGAAAGGGGAAGCCTATTTCAGTCGCCAAGCACATTGAACGCCTGAAGAGGATCCCAGACACTACGCTTGAGAATTATAATGCTGAAACTGGCGAGTGGACCTTCTCCGTTGAACATTTCACGACATATGGCCTCGATGAGTCGGATGAGGAGGACGAGACCGAGCCCTCTGGAGCTCCAACAACATACCCGTCGACTCAGCGCGACTTCCCATCCCCGCCTACGGGCATCTCTTCTGAAGACAGCACTATGTTGGAAGGTAAGCGCAGCTATAAAGCACTTCCAGGTGCTTTTGATGCCGATGAGAACTCCTACATCGAACACGAGGCGGAAATGGCGGTGGCCCCTTTATCTCAGCCGTCTTTTTTAGCTAGTCGCTCCGCGGGTTCTATGTCCAACGCCCTTGTCCCCATGGACCAGGACGAGATGGACGACGAATATGCGATGTCCGAGGCACACGAAGATGCGAGTGCTTCCCTCGGACACCATCTCGCCGCGGAGCAGGAGGATAACTCGTTTGATGGGTCTCACTTTGATGCTGTTCCGGAGACCCCCGCCGGCATTATGAGAGCTCGGATGCGGGCTATCAAAGGTTCGGCGACTCCGATGAAGGTGCAGGTTGCAGCCGGAGACGATTGGATGGATATGCTGAGTAAGACGATCAGCCCTCAGAAACGGGATCGGGCCCTTCTAAGGACCATAAACGAAACCGCAGACTATCGTGCCAAGGATGACCATTTTCGGGATAGATCCCCGACAAAGAAACGCATTGTCTCGGATAGTCGAGGTTTCGCGACAAGCATCGATCTAATGAACTCATTGTTTGAGAAGGCTAAAATCCCAGCCGAGAATCTCCAGGCGTCTGTTCGACCTAAAGGCGTCAAGTGGCCATACAAGCGACTCACGAAACATCTCGACGAGAGTGAGATGGACGAAAAGGAGAGAATATGGCATGACACCATGCGACCTACCTGGGGTCCAAACGGCACACTAGTATTCTCCGGTACCCCTAGTGAGGCTGTTTTTGGAATGACGGGTCGCATCACCGAGAAGAACGGCTTGATGACTGTGTTGAAGGGCGGTATTGTGTCGGAGTCTCAGGATATCCGGATCGCCAAATTCTCAAACGAGGTACGTTTCTGAACTTTCAATAGATGAATGAATGCTAACTTGAGATCTACAGATGGCAGCCAGAGCAGTCCATGCTCACGCCAAACTAGCGCTGGTTCAGCTTGTTGACGGTGTGCCAACCGTTCGACTGAGCCCGAGAACAACCTTGAAGGACTTCTCGATTGGGAGCAATACCAAGAACGCAGCCGAAGAACACGAACGGCTAGTGTGGGAGCTTGCTAGTGTGCTGTTCGATGGCAACAAAATTCCTTCAGACATGCAGGATGACCCTTATGCCCCAGAGAAGATTCGTCGAGAGAATCTATCTCGATTTTGGGCACGCATGGTGGAAGATCAAACATATAAGATGGCGGCGATGGCGGGCTCAAGCGAGGAGAAGGCTCTAGTCTCCTTGTCTGGCCACCGAATCGCAGATGCCTGCAAATATCTTCTTGAAGGCAAAAACTTCCGCCTTGCCACTTTGGTTTCCCTCATTGGTGCTAACGACGCCGTCAAGAAAGACGTGAGAGAACAGATGAAAGAGTGGCAGGAGGCTAATGTGCTTTCCGAGTTCTCACAACCGATTCGCGCACTGTATGAAATGCTCAGTGGAAATGTGTGCGCTTGTGAGGGAACGAAGGGGGCACTCGAGAATCGCACCGAGTCATTCCTCATCTCCGAGAGGTTTGGTCTGAACTGGCAGCAAGCCTTTGGACTGAGACTCTGGTACGCGATCTCCACCGAAGATAACATCGCGGATGCAGTGGAGAAGTATAGGGAAGATGTAGAACAGGACAGAGAGTTATCGCCTACGACATGGTTCACTGAGCATGGTATCAGGGGCATCTGGAACGATCCAGATCGAGATCAGCGAGAAGACCTACTTTGGGGTTTATTGCGGCTATACTCAGACAACCAAGTGGATCTCGAAGCCATTCTACGCCCAGAGAATTCACAACTCTCTCCTCTTGATTTCCGACTGTGCTGGCAGCTAGGACAAGCATTGACTTCCACAGGATGTGCCTCGTTCGGAAAGAACGCCATTGAAAAGGCCGATGCCGCTACTATCTCATTTGCAGCACAGTTGAGGAACGAGGGCAGCTGGCTGGAGGCGACCTTCGTTCTAATACACCTCACAAACCCCGATGCACGGTCTATAGCCATCCAAGACCATCTTTGCAGACATGCTGGCTTGATCGGGAACGAGGAGTCTAGCAGCTTCAGGAAACTCGTAGCGGACTTCAAGATCCCAAGACAGTGGATCTGGCATGCGAAGGCATTGTTTATGCGAAGCGTCAAGAAGGAACCGGCTGCCGAAGTTCAATGCCTTCTTCGTGCAGAGTCGTGGGCCGATGCTCATCGTACCTTTATTAAAGAAGTCGCCCCTGTTGCCATAATTGAGCGCGACTACGATGCTCTGGCCGATATCCTCCAACAGTTCGAGGGTCATCACTCGCAAGTCCCCGATTGGAACGTTGGTGGTGAAGTGTATAAGGCATTCCTCCAGTTGATGGGCTCCCAACGACGAGCAGAGCAACCACCTCCTATTCTAGTTAATGCGCTGCTCGAGGCACTGCCAGCTATGCGTGGTAATACACCCGAGGCCGGGATCACGGAATATGCCGCCTTGACTGAAATGGCAGCCGAAGTAGCCAAGGTAGTGGCCGGTATGGCGAAGGCGGGAGAGGTTAGTCATTTTTCCAATTTTCATGCCATCGGAAACGCTGCTAACCACACAATCCAGATGGAATATGAACGCATCCTACATCTTCCATTGACAGAAGATGTCCTGCTAAAGCATTCCCGAGATCTCGCCTGGTCACACTATTCAACAGTCATAGCCGGCCACTAAAGTCCTTTATGAGGACACAAAATAATTAATACGAAGGTCTGAGTTGGTTTAGGAGTGCATTGGGCAGGAAATACCGAATAAGTGACGCCCGTTTCCGAAAGAATTGTTTTCTATAGTAGATAGTTCACCTGTATGACCAGCCACCTCTCCTGTAAGGCTTGGCTCAAAACGGAGCTGGAGGCTTGGAGACTGAGAACCATTCCAAGGTCTAGGACGTGCGACGTGCTGAAGTTTGAGTGTCGTAGGGACGACACGGCAGGTCACTTGCATTCATGTAGCATATGTAGGTAGCTAGGTAGCATAAAATTGCTAATACCCCTTAATAATTTGTGTTTTTTGTTCGTGATATGTGGTTCAAGTCGACAGCATTAGGGAAGTCGGATAGAATTTCCACTACGTCTATTTATTCCTATTCAAACTCAAGTCATAGACCCTGTTGCTCATACTAGACAGACAGCTATACAAATTACATACCAAATGCATGGACACCTCTGATCTAATAACAATATCTTTATCATATTTTAATTCAATTAGCAATTTAACACACATAGTTCGACAGTGATATAACACAGGCTATGAGTTGTGAAGGCTACTGAGATGAATTTAGATTCGCCGTGGATCACGCCGACCTTGTAGAAAACAATCTTAAAAGGTTGTTCAATGCGTAAACTATATCATTTAGGGAGTTTGTGACATCTGCTTGGACCTATTGCTATCTATGTACCTACAAACCAGGGAAACTCAGCAAAGGCGTATCAATCGTTCTACTACAACACAGTTTAACAACGTAGATAATTGTAAGCGACTGGTAGGGTGCTGTGGCAGAGTTGGTTATTGCGTGAGGCTCGAATTACCACATTCTAAATCTCATTCCTTCGGGAGCACAGGTTCGAATCCTGTCGGCATCGATTTTTTTCCTTCTTGTTTTCTCATTTTCTCATAATGAGACCTTGCCTGAATACCTGTTCCTGGCCTTTGCTCTTGTACCAGTCGAGCTACTTTTTATTTCTTAGACCATATTTCAATATGAAGTCAAACAGGCCCATACCTGTTTGTTCAAATCCCACGAGGCAGTAGCTCAAATAACATGAAGTATATGCCTCCGAAGATTCCTGTGCATCTCCTCGACGTAAAAGTTCCTTTCTCCAACGGGGTATATATTCCACTCTCCAGTACTCTATCTACACATTGATAACGCAAATAGTGCACTGCTGTTGTACAGAACATTTACAACGAAGATGAAGAATAGATTACCTAGACATAATCAATCTCATACAACTCTCTCAAAGCGCAGGTACAGCGAGTTGCTCTTCGGGTGACCCGTGTAGGCGTCGGTCGGCTCTATACCGTCGTCGTCGACGATGTAGCTGGTGTAGTTGGAATAGATGGCGGCAATGACGAGCTTCATGGCTGGTATTTCTCCCATGTCAGCACAGCAACGCAAGCTAAAATATTAAAGGGGGTTAAAGCCTGAAAAGGAGACGAGACCACAAACCATGCATAGCGAAATTGGAACCGAGGCACATCCGCCCGCCGCTCGAGAAGCCCCAGAAGTGCCGGTTTACATCCGTCATCTTCTCGTCGCCGTCATCTACTGAAGAACCAGCGTGTAGCCACCGCGTGTGGTCCCATTTTTCGGGGTCGGGGAAAACAGCCGAGTTTCGGTGCAAGTTGTACACGGACGCCGCGACCCGCACGCCGCCGGGCACCTCGTAGGGCCCGATGCGGCACGACGGCGACGGCGTCACGCGCGGTGCCGGGCCGCCCGCCGGCGAGTAGCGCCGGACCGTTTCCATGACCACGGCGTGCAAGAGCGGCAGGCTGTCCAGCTGCTTCGAGTCCGGGTGCGCCGCCCTGCCGTCCGCATCGAGTTTCATGCTCGGGGTCAGCGTGAGCAACTCGTCGCGCAGATCCCGTTGCAGAGCCGGCGACTGCGAGAGCTGGTGCGAGAGGTACGTCAGCGCCACGCCCGTCGTCTCCTGCCCCGCGAGGACGTGGTCCAGGATCTCGGACGCGACGGACAGCGCGCGCTGCTGGATCGTGGTGGCGTACAGCGGGCTCGCTGCGCCGCTCGTCTGCTCCTCCTTGTCGATGCCCGCGAGCAGCGCACGCACGACGACCGGGTCGTCCGCCGTGTCGACGGATGACACACCGCCCGTCCTCTCGGCTTCTAGGACCCGCATCGTGGCGTCGCTGCGCTCCTTGCACCACGCCTCGAGCTCCCTGTTGGCGGCGGTGACCCAGCCCGGCGTCAGGTGGACGCCTACCCGACGCAGCGCCGTCGACAGCCGCGGCAGCTCCTGCGCGAAGAAGCCGTAGCCCGTGCGCGTCGTGTACAGCGCCAGCCAGTGCTCGCGGTAGGCGCGGTCCCGGACGAAGCGGGCGCACCGCCGCACGCCGAAGCAGTACGCGGAGATGAAGTCCATGGCCACGCCGCAGAACAGGGAGTGCACGTCGATGCCGTGCGGCTGCTGCGCGCGCGCCACGGAGCGCGCGAGCAGCGGGAGCAGCTGCGTGTTCAGGATGCTGCAGGCTTGCAGGCGCAGGGCCGGCGAGCCGTTGATGTACGATTTCGAGTACACGTGCGACACCATGCGTTTCCGCAGCGAGTGGTGCTTGCTCTGGGCGGAGGAGAACATGCAGGGCACGCTTTGGGAGAGTTAGCTAAATGCTTTTTGTACAGGTATATACATATAGGAGGTAGGATAGGTGGATTACCCGTAGTTGTCGAAGAGCGAGTACCACTTGTGCTTGTCGAAGCCGCCTTGATAGATGGTTTTGACGGCCTCGACATTGTTCACACTGAGCTCGTTGGGACCGATGCGTACTATTGGCCCATGCTGTCCATGAGCGGTCTGAAGAGTGCGGTTTTCGCGGCTCTTGAACCGCGCCCATAGGATCCACGCCGGCGACACGGAGCAGGACCAGTGGGCACTGGGTATTTTCGAGAGAGGTGAGAGTACGACGGGATATAGCACATATTGATAAAAAAGGACTAGGGCGAAGAGAAACAAGGCTGGTGTGTACAAGTCGGAGATGCTGAGTGTGGCCATGCTAGGGGGCTCTTATCACTGTGACGGGAATGAGCAAGTGCTCCAGCCAGCGTCTTAACCAAGTCGAGTAATTACTTGGCCCTGACTCGACTTACCTGGCCAGTTCGAGTCAAGTCGCTTATTTTACCAGTTCGTTCAAGCCAATTAAAATTTTTTTTTACTTGTTTTACCTGGTCAAGTATTTCAAGATTATGGAGACCCACATATACCCACTTAAACCCAGACCCACAGCTGGAGTTCGAATTTATAGCCGAGTCTTGGCAATTGTGGCTGGTGTGGCTGGTGTGGCTAGTGAGGGTTATTTTATGCCAAGACTCAGTTATTAATTTCAAACGACATGGTCCCACTTTTAGTCAAGCCAGGTCGTAAATTTGACCAATCAATCCGCGTTTCTAGAAATACTTGATTTGATTGGTCCAAGTCAAACATTTCGCGATACTTGACTTACTCGACTTGGTTTAGACGCTGGCTCCAGCACAAGCTGTAGACTTCGCGTCGATTAATTGTGAAGTATATACAAGAATCTCAAAATAAAAATGAGTTCAATATGTATTTCGGATCATCGTTAGCACACCCCAGGCATTGGCCTCACCCTTAATCATGAATATACTGTGTCTCCTAAATTTCGGGGGCAAGTGTCGATGGAGAGGTTATCGTTCAGAGTTGCCCCTCCATAGTCGGAACGGTAATGCTTAATGCAATATCTGAGGCCATTCATATTCGTACCTGAATTTTACATCTTCTTCATTTCCTCTCGGCGCAGTCCTCATAATGAGTATAATGAGTCAAATCATCAGAGAACTATAAACTCATTGCCATTAGCGCGTTAGAGTGAGTAAATCCGCAAGGAATATTAGTCACATTGGAAAATCAGTTTACAGGGGAAATTTTAGGTGGTTTTATTAGTTTGGTGACTCTTAAGAGGGTTTTGTTATGCAGGGTACCTGGCTGCCTGGTTTGATCCACTATATTTACTTACCGATACTGCCTATGTACCTGTAAATTTATTTACAGGCTCGTCAGAATCCTCATCATCATGTTACTAATTGTAACACATTTTATTGAGATTCATCTTTGCATTAATAGTTTTTCGCTCTCATCTATATTATGGAGCTGCACATAAATAACTTACAACCACCGGACTCCAAGTCCAAAACCAAGACGTGCCACAGAACCTGTGAACCTACGTCATAAACACTTGAGCTTACCAAGTGCCCCAAGTGCCTACTTCACGATACATCTTCGCCACAATGGGTTCCGTAACGGACTCCGTAATGGATTCCATGAGTTCCCTTACCGTCTCTGAGACTCGTAGTCTCACAGACCTACCTTCCGACATATTCTATATCGTGATATCGTATCTGGACACGGCGAAAAGCGTTTCTAATCTGGCCTTGACATGCAAGGGCCTGTACCACCTTGTTATCGAACGTGGCTGGCGCATTTTCGTGACGACTCGCTTCAACACTTTCTCATTTTCCGAACCCTCATCTGAAAATGAGTGGAAGGAACTTGCCCGATCGTTGACCTCGCAATCGCGAGACTGGGACCGAAGAGCCTTTGTCCTTGCCGTTCACAGACACCCTCAAAAGGCTCCGAAGCAAAGGGCTCAGTCTGGTTTTCAGTCAATACCGGGCAACATTCTGGTCGACGCTTCTCGCCAACGCATTGGAAACGACGCTCAGGATATCGTGTTTTGGGGTGCAGGGGAACACGCGTACGGTCTCATCAGACACACCCGGGGATCCAAGGCTCCAACTGATGAGTGGCTTGGTAACATAGGTTCGACTGCAAAGCGTCCTGGCATAGAAGACATCACCTGTATTAGCATACTTAAGGACGACAAATATAAATACGGCACAGATGAACCCCAGGTATTAGTCGGCAGGGCCAACGGCAAGCTTGAGCTCCTTTCTATGGGCGCTAGAGAATTTGGGAAAGGGCTCCTCAATTTTCGACGCCGCGGCAGCAAGTCTCATAATATTAAACTGCAGATCCAGTCACTCGATGTAAACTACCAACAGGGCTTGCTAGCGGCGGCAAGCAAGCAAGATATCCTCATCTACCCTCTTATTGGTAATGAGCGGCACGGTCCTCATGCAACTCACAAGGATGATGGGGAATGGCCTAATAACCGTGTCAATGAAACGTGGGCTCACGAAACTGTGGCTTTGAAAGAGCTTTCGAAGGATAGATGGCCCTTCGACTTCATCCGATCTGTCAAATTCGTCAACGAGAACACCCTAGCAGTAGGGTTAAACCGTTGTCGCCATCCACTTCAGTACTTGAGACCGACTCCAACCGGACTCCGGCGATCCGCAGCGGCCACAATAGGCTACCAAGGCAAGGCTGGAACGGTCAGAGCGATCCTGCCCGTAGACACGAGCTCTGTCGCGAGCGGAAGCGGAAACGCCGTGCTTAGTTCTTGGGATGATGGTACGATCCGGCTACAGGATCTCCGCACCGCCTCCCCATACGACAGTATCTTCCAGGACAATTTCGAAATGACAACCCCGATCAACTGTCTCCTCTCTCGCGGCCTCGAGCGATTTATTGCTGGAAGCGCCCGCACCCGCCTGCTGAAGGTCTTCGATTATCGTTGGCCTAAGGGGTATTACTACACCGAGGCTCTCCCGTGCGGCGCCGACAACCCCTATCCAAAGCCCTATCCCCCCACCACGGTGGCAGAACCGTCTTATCCGGATAATCGCACCAAGTGCGACTACGTAGGCGGCCACCGGTGTCGCTGGCACGCGTTATCGAAGATGAACTTCTACCGGCCCAACTTTAACATGTATATGAAAAACTCCCTGAGCGCCGACTCCCCCATCTACTCTCTCGCGTCGCCGGCGGAC